GGTGATGGTATATGGTAGATAGACTTCATATAACTATATGAAACAGAACTAAGAAACCTCTTTCAATTGCTTTAAGTGGGGTGGGGAGGGGGCTGAGGGAGACAGACAATGGGGGCAATGTAACTAATGTACAATGTAAGTCTAAACAGAATTATCACTATGAATCCCCTCCCCCGTATAATGAATATATCCTACTAAAAAGTTTATATATAAAAAAAGTGGTAAGGGAAACTGGGCATGGTGGCACCCATGTGTAATTCCACACTCAGCAGGCTGAGGCAGGAGAATAGAAGTGCCAGACTAGCCTGGGCTACATAGTGAGACTCTGTCTGCAAAAATTACAATTAAAAAAAATTTTTTTAAAAAAGCAGATGCTGGTGGCTCATGCTTGTAATCCTAGCTACTCAGGAGGCAGAGATCTGGAGGATTGAGGTTCAGAGCCAGCCCCAGGCAAATAATTCTTGAGACCCTATCTTGAAAACACCTATCACAAAAAAATGGGCTGGTGGAGTGGATCAAGTGGTAAGAGCACCTGCTAGCAACCTGAGTTCAAACCTCAATGCCGCCAAAAGAAAAAAAAAAGGTAAGGGAAAATAACCAAGAGCAAGAGGGACTAAGTAGAATGTTTTGAAATCCTTAGAAAGAATCTCAAATGTACAGGCAAAGCCTTGTGATTAATGTTACATGAACAGGTTGCCCATATGCAAGTCTGATGTCACAAAGCAAGGTGCAAGCATTTCCAGGGACACTGGTGTACCTCTCTGAGACAGTACAGGCTCCTGATTTGGGATGAGCTGAAGTCCCAGCTGGTCATTGGCAGCTCATGGATCTTTTTCAGAGGCTGAGAAAAATACAGTCAGTAATTAAAATCATGTTTTCCATTATTAACAACAACAAACAAAACCACCCACAATTCAATTCCACATGTCTAGCTGCATACAAAACTTTCCACACAAGAGGCTTATTCTGGTCATGACATCAAATGTCATTATAAAAATGTTTCTAACTCACATTATAAGAATAATGAATGGGACTTACACACCAGGTAAATATTGCCATAAGCCTGTCTTCTCTTTTTTTATTTCTCCTTCAGCCACCTGGAACATTTTATAACTGCAGCCTGAGCTCAAAGTATGCAACATCTTACTAGACTCAGCCTAACAGCTGGAGAACTTCAAAATGGCAGCCAGCCTGGAAGGGGCTGGAAAAACAGATGAACAGAGCAACAAACAAAACTACTGGACTCCATGGTGCCTTGAGTCTAAGGACAGTTAGCTTCTGGTGTCAACTTTGAGCTCCACACACCCAGGCTTTCTGGGTGCTAGGTCTGTTTTGGCCTATGAGAAAGAGAACTGAATACAGAGTCAAAACATTGAGCTTCTGGTCCTGGCTGATTCCGTTACTGACCACAGTGAATAAGTTTCTGAAAGTCATGTAAGAACCTCTTCCAGTCAGCTTCTTGTTGGGGCCAATGAGAGTGAGATTAATGCTGGGTGTTCCTAGTGGGGTTATTGTGAGCAGTGAATGAGACAGAGCAGGTCAGAGTGCTTTGAGGCATTTAAAACATCACACGAATGTAAGAGGTTAGTTCTTATGAGAGAGCTTGGGAATTCCCTTCCTTTCCTGGTAGGGAAAGGGAAGTATGAGAAGTCCACGCCTGCTTTATCTGTTATAAAGGATTAGAATGCTCCACCTATTTTGTATTGATGGTGAGATAGAAGAGAGTTGTGTAATAAAAATGCTGGCTGTGTCATCATCCTTATTAGAAAATTAACTCAAGGTTTAACTATCACGTAATGTGACTGGTTTTTAAATAAACACATCTAAATGGGTGTTATCCCATCCTGAACAGTGAGTAGTCACCTTGGCAAGCAAAGCATTTATTTAAATTATATTTCCCATCATTCAAAAACAGAATTTTTTAAAAGTTCTGTTTGGAATCGTTCCTGGAGCCTCTGGCACATTCTTTTGAACATGTCTGAGGGTGACACATTTTTGTCCTTTGTGAATAATCCTGATTTCTGTAAACAGCCTAAAGTCATTTGGTGCAAAGATGGGTAAATAATCTAAGTAATACCATTCTTAAAAATTGAAACCATAGGCTGGTGGAGTGGCTGGAGTGGTAAAGGCCCTGAGTTCAAACCCCAGTGACACACACACACACACACACACACACCCCAAATTGAAAATAAACTGTAATTATAAAATAGAAGTCATCCTTTTAGTTTCAAGAGAAGAATTATTGTGGGTTTTTTTTTTTTCTTTGTGGTATGGGGTTTGAACCAGTCCTACACGTTGAACCAGCCCTTTTCTTGTGAAGGATTTTTCGAAATAGGGTCTTATGAACTTTTTGCCCCAGGCTGGCTTCCAACCTCAATCCTCCTGATCTCTGCCTCCTGAGAAGCTAGGATTACAGGCATGAATGTGCATACTGTGGTCTTTTTCATAACGTCAATGTTAAATGACGCCAAAGATTATTTATGGAAAATATCTTTTCCTTAATGCATTTTTTTTACTGTGGTAAAATTCACATAAAATAAAAGTCATTATTTGACCATTTTAAAGCATACAATTCAGTGACATTCAGTACGGTAACCACTATCTAGTTCCAAAATATTTTCATCGCCCTCAAAGGCAACCCTGTACCGTTACGCAGTCATTTCCCATTCCTCCCTCACTCCCGAGCTCCAGGCACTACGCTGCTTTCTGCTTCTGTGGGTTTGCCAATCCTAAATATTTCATATAAGCCAAAACACATAACGGGTGGCCTTTTTTCACTTAGCATATTTTCAAAGTTGACTCTTATTGTAGCATGTGTCAGTACTTCATTCCTTTTTATGACTGAATTTCCATGGCCTGGACATACCATTTTGTTATCCATTCATTCATTTAAGGATATCTGAGTTGTTTTCACCCTTTGGCTATTCTAAATCCTATTGCCATGAACACGGGTGTGCGTGTTTTTGTTTGGGGGTAATTAGCTAGGAGTTAAATTGCTGGGGTCATGTGTCAGTTCCGTTTGTTTGCTTTCCTTTGGTTTTGTTTTGTTTTAGACAGGGTCTCACTATATAGCTCAGGGTAGCCTTGAACTTGCTATACAGCTCAGGCCTGCCCAGAACTCTCAACCCTCCTGCTTCAGTAGGGGTGCTGGGATTACAGATATGTGCTACCAACACCTGGCTGACTAACTTTTGTGCTTACAGTTTACAAGATGTCTTGATCACCAGTTAGAAGTACTGTAGCCATAGCCAAACCTCAGGCTGGGTCCCAAAGGTCTCTTTTTCAGAAATGCTTATTAGAGCAGTCAGGCTCCATCTGAGCCAAGCTTGTTCCAAGGCAAGATTCCACACAGTCCCTTGAACAGCTTCTCTGCTGCTCTACGTGTCACAACATGAACTGGCCAGGCAGGAACACCTTCCTGCCTCCTAGGCATCCTTGATCTTCCACTATGTTGCACACACTTTAGGAAAAAGATGTTAACTGGTTTAACTCACAGCTTCCCCCCTCTGTCTTTGCTAAGAGTTCAGATTGGGCAGAGGCTAGTCCTTTTGTAATTCAAGAACAGGGCCTCCTTAACACTAATTGAGACTACAGAGAGATCTTCCATTCAGGGTAGACTTCTACCATCCATTTGGCCTGACAGCATGGCCCAGTGATCCTGTCCCTGGCAATCCACAGATCTGGGAGGTGAGCCTGTCCACCCTATGGGCTTGGCCAGCACAGCAGAAGATAACCCAACTGCAGGCATTGTTTATTGCAGCCGGAGTACTGAGTCATGAGGTTTCTCAGTCACCAACCCAGCCCCAGTCAGTAACTGATTCACTGAGTTAGCACTGATTTTTAAATTTAAACTTGTCCATAAGCCTCCAACAGTGCTGACCTCTTACCCCAACTCTGTAACACACAGGAAGTTCCTGAGCTACACAGTCCAAACCAAGGACTATTATATTGCATTGCCAAAACCAGACAGACACAAAAAGGGCTTTTTCCACTTGAAACTAAATACCAAGAATGAAAAAGTTGGCTTCTCCGGTCCTTGCTACACAGTCACTCTGCCAACCCAGCTGTCACTTGTCACTTGTCTCTGGACAGCCTCTTCAGGTGTCCTGGCCTGACTCTGTTGTTAGGACAGAAAAAAATCTCTTGCTGGTCATATCCTCTGTAATCTGGCAGGAAACCTAAATTTTGCCTGTTGTAATCCTAGGTCTGTTTGCTTATCTGCTTCCTTGTTGGAAGAATCTCATCACAGTGTTCGGTTTAGGGGGACTGTCACCATGACCTCACTCTTCCCCCCGCCCCACTCACTGATTTCAGCGAGCATTGCAGACGTCCTCAAAATGCAATTCTGGGGGGTGGGGGGGGTGGCGGGAAATCTACATTAGTGAGACGTTCACGACCTCTTCTAGATTACCTCAGGTGAACCCACCTTCCAGTTCGTTCTTCTCAAACCTGGGCCCTTGCAGGGGTCAAAAATGACAAAAAGACCTGGAAGTATGTTGGGGACGGGATTGGGACCGACGTCATCATGTTATCGAAGTAGGGCACGTGGAGGTGACAGCCGGCGGCGGCGGGCGCATAATCTAAGAGAAAGGGAGGTGGGAGCGGCTGGGAAGAAAGAGAGCCCCCAGGGTAGTGTCCAGGGTCTGGCCTCCCGTTTCTACAACTCCAGGAAAGAGCCCTTTTCCGTGCGTAACAGCGCTCAGTCAAAGGGAAACAGAAAGTCGGGCTCCAGAGGCGCGCGCCAGACTCTACCCGGCCCAGCCCACGTGACTCTGCGAGCGCGCCCGGCCCAGGCACGCGATCGCGGGAGCGAGCGCGTGACTCGGCCCAGCCCCGCCAAGGTGGGTGGGTAGGAGCGGCCGCGGCGTGTACACGTGCGCGCTCCCGAGAGACAGCGTGCGCGCTCACGCCCCCATGAGGGGCCACCGCCCCTCCCGGGCCCGCCCTCTTTCCCTCCCTCCCTAGCTTACCCGGCCCGCCCTGCCCGGCCCGCCCTGCGAGTCAGTTCGTTGGTTCCCTCCCTCCCCGGGCGCGCTCGGGCCGCCGCTGCGCTCCCCGCCCTCGAGCCGCGGTGCCGGAGCCGCCTGCCGCCGGAGGAGGAGGTGGAGGAGCCGCAGGGGCCCGCCGAGGCGGCGGCGGCGGCGGCAAGATGGCGGACTTCCTGCCGTCGCGGTCCGTGCTGTCCGTGTGCTTCCCCGGCTGCGTGCTGACAAGCGGTGAGGCCGAGCAGCAGCGCAAGTCCAAGGAGATCGACAAATGCCTGTCGCGGGAGAAGACCTACGTGAAGCGGCTGGTGAAGATCCTGCTGCTGGGCGCGGGCGAGAGCGGCAAGTCCACCTTCTTGAAGCAGATGCGGATCATCCACGGGCAGGACTTCGACCAGCGCGCGCGCGAGGAGTTCCGCCCCACCATCTACAGCAACGTGATCAAAGGTGCGGCTCGGGGTCCGGGCCGGGGGATCGGGGACCTGGGGACCCGGGCGGCGGCGGCGGGCGCGAGGCCGGGCACCGCCCTCGTCCGCCCTCTGTCCCTGGCGGGGGACCGGGTCGGATCGGGAGGGTAGGCAGGCGGGAAGGGGGCGCGCCCGAGTGCCCTCGTCCGTCCCCTGTCCCCAACCAGGTGAGGGGATTCCCGAGGGGAGGGCACCCCACTTTCCCCCTTGCTGCCCGTGTGCGGGTCACGGCCAAACCCCACACCCCTCCGCTGGCCTCGCCTCCTCCGAGAGGGAAGTGGGGCGAGCCGGGTGTCGCGGGGTGACCTCTCCTGCATACTAGGCAGGACGACGCGAGAGCAGCCCCCCCCCCACTGCACCCCCAGTCTCCTCCCCGACCCTCGGGAACCCGAGTCATAAGGTCGCTGCCTCCTGAGTGAGTGAGCAAGGGAGTTTTGGAACCGTCCCAGTAAGAAAAGTTGTCAAGGGCGTGGGGTGACAGTCCCTGGGGCCTTTTGGGGCAAGGCTGTGAACTGGAGGGTGTCACGTTTACGGTACTGGCATCAAGAACGAGTAGCCCCATAAGTCTTTAAAAAAAAAAAAAAAAAAGTTAGCACGAGTGGTTTTTCGTCCCAGTGTTGCAGGATGTTGGCCTATAATCACTGTGCAACACTTTTCACCGTGCTTTTTTGTTAAATAACTGGGGGCAGGAGAAAAAGGGGTGCTGCTGCTTGTTTCGTTTAAATGAAGTTGTGTCCTGGTGATCCTTTGCCCTCGGTGATCCGGATCCAGTGCAGGTGGAGTCAGCGCGTCAGGGTTGGACTGGAGAGAAGGCTGTGCTATTGGGAAGCAGTATATATATATATATATTTTTTTTTAAATAAAACATTGTCCTTAAGTGAGAAACACAGGTGTTTATTTCTGGGTATTCAAAAAATTGAAAGGTGGTTTTTATTGGGTCATTTAAAAGAAGCAGTTCTCGTTTTTCTTAGCATCAGATATTCTGTACATAAAAGGCACTGGCCAAATTGAGTGGCAGCACCTGGTCCTTCAGGTGCATCTGCAGTCACCTTAATTTTATCTATGACTTTGCTACAGATTTCAGCACTTTTTCAAAAAGTGTTTTTTAAAGTGGGTTTTTGTTCAGGAAGTATATAAGCAAGTCCTTCATGTCACTTTTTTTCCCCTCCCAGGGTTTGGGCAGAGAAAATTTTCTGGGGAGGGAGGCACTGGTGGGGCATTGAGGGGAGAAGAGCACTAGGCCAGGAGCTCAGGGACCACCAGCAACCATTAGGTCCAGTATCTCTGAAGTCAAACTATACAAGACAGTTGTACTTAGCCTGCCTTCATGTTTAGCACAAAGCTAATTAAGGGCTCCTTCAAGGCTCCCACTTTACTTTGCCAGGCCCTAATTGAAGGTACCTTTGTATCCCCATGCAGTTGAACTTAAGAAATTATGTTAATGAATAGAATAGAGGCGACTTGTTAACTGTGAGCCAGGTAAACACCTGCTTCTTAATGTACACTGTGTCCTAAGTGTGACCTACTTCAGACATCATTGTGAGGGAAGTAAGCCACTGGACATCTAGGTTTTTTGAGTTGGTGCCATCAGAAAATTGACGACAAAACAGTTCAGTTATCTAAACAAGTGACTTCCTAGTAGACTGTTAAGATGGATCTAAGGTAACAGTTGAGTGGTAGAACTGAGTTTGAACTAACTTCTCTAAGTTGAAATCTGTTTTATATCCTCTTTCAGATGGTCTTTTTTATGGAAATCTAAGGGCAGCCTAAAACTTACGCCGATCTGAAGCTTGGTCTGGGAGAAGCTTCCGAGTTTTAAATGTGTTTTTGGAAGACTCAGTGTTGGGGTTAGGGTGCTGAGGAATTATAAAGGAATCTGAACAGGGTTCTAATGGGTGGTTCTTAATGTTTTATAAGTAAATGTCTTTTAGGCCTGTACAATTTTGGTTGCAGCCATTGTCTTGAGAGCTGGGACTCTGGGCTGTGCAGCACAATTTCCTTTTCCTTCTCTGGTTTGACCACTTTCTACCCCAGAAATTATTTATAAACTGATAACGTGTTAAATCCTTCAGAAAGAGCTATCCTGTCATTAGTATTTGTTTTTCAAGGCGCTAATATTAAGATGGTGAGCAACTTTTTTTTAACCTCCAAGAAGATACATACAGGTTGTTTTGATACCGGTCTCCTTTTTAGAAGATGTGGGCCTAAGATAGTTAAAAGTTAAAGAACTGATACTGGAATTAAAACTTCTGGTATATCTAACAACTCTGACCCACACTTTTTTTCTTCTCTTTTTAAACAAAGGTATGAGGGTGTTGGTGGATGCCCGTGAGAAGCTTCATATTCCTTGGGGAGATAATGAAAACCAGCTCCATGGAGACAAGTTGATGGCATTTGACACCCGGGCCCCCATGGCTGCCCAGGGAATGGTGGAAACGCGGGTGTTCCTGCAGTATCTGCCGGCAATCCGAGCTTTATGGGCGGACAGTGGCATACAGAATGCCTATGACCGCCGTCGAGAGTTCCAGCTGGTAAGACATTTGCACTTTTCAAATGTTGTTTCATTTTAGTGAGGCTTAGTAATATCTGACTTGACACACTTTTTCCCATTGACTTCCACAATATAAAATGTATCTATCCAAAATTGTAGCCTCAGCAGCCTGCATTGCTATGTCTTTTTACCAAGCAAGATAAAAATAAAGTAAAATGCAGAGCTAATGAAGCTATTATATTTTCTTTTTTGAAAGATAGGCACTTTCTCCTAATTTTGTTCTTTTTGAAATTAATTTTCTCCCAACCATAGCAAAATATTGATCTTTCTAAAAAGTTGACCTTTTCTTTAATATGAGTTCAGTAAGTGAACCTAGTTGTTCAAGAATGCTTTTTAGTCGATACGGGTACTCATTTTATAATACAGATTAATTTGGTGGAGAACTATTAGCAGTAAATGTGCTTTTTTATATTTTTGCATTTTGTGTGTGTGTGTGTGTGTGTGTGATTTTTTTCCCCCAGTATTGGAGTTCAAACTCAGGGCCTCACGCTTGGTAGGCAGGCACTGTACCATTTGAGCCACTCCACCAGTGCTTGTTTGTGTTTTTTTAAGACACTTTTCATATTTTATAAAATGTCCCTTTAAAAACAAAATTAAAATAACTTTTTGTACTGCTGTTTCATATGGGAAACAGCTTATTTTACCCCTCTGTCTTAAAAAGACTACCTGTCAGATACTTGAATAGAGTATTTTATAGGCCATTGAATGAAGAGTCCACTCTGAATGGAGAGTGGAAAAGAAAGGATCCAATTCAAGGTTTAAAAAAAATGCAAAAATGAGCCCGGTGCTGGTGAATCACTCCTGTAATCCTAGCTACTCAGGAGGTAGAGATCAGGAGAATCTCAGTTCGAAGCCACCTTGGGCAAATACTTTACAAGACCCTATCTCAGGAAAAGCCCATCACAAAAAAAGTGGGGGCTGGTAGAGTGGCTCATGTGGTAACAGTGCCTGCCTAGCAAGCATGAGACCCTGAGTTCAAACCCCAGTGCTGCCTAGGAAAAAAAAAAAAGAACCAGGCACGGTGGCTGATAATCCCAGCTACTCAGAAGACTGAGGCAGGAGGATTGTGACTTCCAGGCTAGTGTAGGCTAACTGAAAAGAACCAAAACAAAAAAGAAAAATAATAATAAATGAGACAGATTTTTAATCAAGTGGTTTATAATTTATACTTAGATTGTATTGTGGGTTTTATTTGCCAAAGACCAGAAAGAGTCCAGCAGGGTTAGCATCCAGACTGCAATTTGAGGTAATTCAGATCTGAAGAGTTTTACTGTAATATGATTAAAATAAAGTGACAGTTAAAGTAAAACGGCTTAAGTTGTTTGATGATGTCACCAACATTAAAGTGATCTACAGTTGTGGGTGTGGCTACACAGTTACACACCACTGGCAGTCTCTGTTGTACTCTGTACTCGGAAGCAATCTTAGGTACTAGAACAGTATTTCTAGAGAAGCGTTTTTGATTTTTTTTTTTTAATAAAACAGACACCTTCACCTTATGTTTCATAATATATAACTAGCAATTGATTATGTGCTAGCTTGTGTACTTCTTTCATGTATCTTACCATCAAACTGGCAGAGCTGTATGTTGAAAATTAGGAATTGAACTTCACAAATAACTGTCATCCTGTTCCCAGATTTCTGGTTAGGTTTTGACCTTTGGTCGCTATTGTTATTTTTGAAGACCTGCTTGCATTGACTCCTTCACATAACCTTTCTTATCTCTCTTCACAGACCCTTCTGTTTTTAAATGCAAATTATTCTCCTGAGTTCTGTTTTTCAACAGATTACACTTTCCACTCTGAAGTGTTTTCAGGCTATTATTCATCTTTCCAAAGTCAAGGAAGAAGCAGCCATCTGTAATAAGCATTTATTAGTGCGTACTAAATAGTGAAGGAGCAACTGTGTACCTGAAAGTTCTATGTTTGCTAAGCCCCGTATGATTGAAGTTGGGCTTCACTCACATTTTTTTAATTTGGACTGTCACATCTTAGTGTCATATCAAGACTTAATGTCATCATTGTTAGAAAGATGCCTGTGCATTTCTTTTTCATTAAGAGCAAACAGGTAAAATTGTTCAGGATGAGAGCTGCCTGTTCCTGACTTGAGCTGGCTAATGCTTCAGGATCAAAGAGTTCTCAAAGACAGGGAAAGGCAAGTTCCAGAAATGTTTTTTTGTTTTTTCTTTCTCTGATAAAAAGAAGAGACACAAGAAAAGAGGAACACAGTGAGATCTAATTTTAAACTGGAGGCGGGGATTTTTTTCCCGAGTGTATCCTCAGTATTGTTAATGGTCCCAAGCACATTCTAGTTGCTTATTATGTTGAATTAATTACTCTCGCAACTCGAGAGACTCTGTGATGCTTGGCATAGTACTGGGCACTGAGAAGGCACTTTGCTTATTTAAACCATGGTTCAAAGTCATTGTCATTCCTTCTAATCATCTACATACAGCAAATCCCCAAGTCCTGTCCTCTTTCCCTCTGTGAAGACCTTTGCATCCATTCCCTTTTTTCCTCCTTTACATTACTGCCCTTGTTCCTCTTGGATTTAAATAATGTTGTTCAGACACAACCTGGGATTGCTCAGAAAGCTTTGACAGCTCTATGCCTTTTGGTGTTAGTCAAGACTATAGCTAGCTTCCCTGTGACTCCATCAGTATCTTTCATTAGGCTGGTGGATATATCTATAACCTCTTAATCCCCACATACCTTCTATAGCTCTCTTAGATCTTACCCTTCACTTAGAGCAGTGGTAGTCAAACTTTTAAATATTAACTTTTTTTTTTTTAATATATATATATTTTTTTGAGGTGGGAGTCTCACTGTGTATCCCTGGCTGGTCTTGAACTTGTGATCCTCCTGCTTCAGTCTCCCAAATGTTGCAGTTACAGGTGTGCACCACCCTGCCCACTGGTAATCACATTTTAATGTAACTAAAGGTAGTCCATAGACATCTTGGATTACATTTAACTGGAATGCTTGTTAAAACAAAACAGTCAGATTCCCAGACTCCATCAGGAGGATTTGGTTGAGGAATCGAATGAGACCTGAAGATCTGTGTTTTTAGCAAGCATGTGGTGACTGGATGAATGGCTCCTGGAACATGAAGCTCCCTTGCACGTCTTGCCATCATCTTTCCTTCCATTAACGTTGGACCTAATACTTAACTTTATTTCCTCATTTTTTTTAGACATTCTGAATCATGAGGAATGCACTAGGAAAAAATGAAACATCGTACATTAAGTTCCTTATGGAAAACATAAATTATTTCTGTATGCTAGTTTGTTAATTTTGCAAGAAATGGAAAAATCTTTGAATTATAAAATCAGTCATTTTTTGTCTTTGTTATGCTTAACAATAGATTTTTAAATTTTATTTTGTTTGTTTGGTTTTTTTTGCTTACATGGTCTCACTGTGTAGCCAGGCTGGCCTCAAACTCATGATCCTCCTGCCTTAGCCTCTTAAGTGCTGGGATTACAGGCATGTATCACCATGCCCACTTACTTTTACATTTTGGATAGAAAAAGTAACTGGGGAAGTAGGAAGAGTTAGCAGATCAAATAGCTAAACTTAAAATTAATGTTTTTGGTCAATTGCAGTAGCTCACACCTGTCATTCTAACTACTTAAGAGGCAGACGGCTCAGGAGGGTCAGGAGGCCAGTCCAGGCAAAAAGTTCACAAGACTGTCTCAGCAATGGCACAGTAGTGCACTCCTGTCACCTCAGCTGCCCGGAGACAGAATAGGAGGGTTTTGGGCTAGGCTGGCCCAGGCGTAAACTCAAGACCCTGTTCCCAAAATAATGTAAGCAGAAGGGCTGGGGGCATGGCTCAAGTGGTAGAACTGCCTGCCTAGCAAGTGCAAGGCCTTGGGTTCGAACCCCAGGACTTCCAAAAAAAAAAAAATAGTGTTTTTGTTTCAACTAATCATTATTAAGGTCCTTAATGCAAAATTGAAAGGAAAAGAAATACTGACATTCTTTAACGATCTTCGTAACTTGCCTTTTGCTCAAGATGAATGCCCAGTAATCAGTATTTTGGACAAGGAGTAGGAGAGTGATACCACAGCAGGCTACCCATTTGTTAATAACTTTGGGTGCAAACATGAATGTTTTCTTTCCTAAGTTCTCAAAGGCATACATTTCCTTTTCTGGTTAGTTTCCCTTATGAGTAAAATAAATACAGAAAAGAAAAGCTAGGATTCACCATCCTATTAAAACTTAAGGTACCTTTCCAGCACCATGAGAACAGTACGCCATAAGTGGTTATTTTTAGTACTGGATTAAATATGTGTAATATTTTGGGTCTACATTCAGTGTCACTTGCCACTGCACTCAGGAGATATTTTGTCTTTAGAAAAACTTCTCAAGTGGCAGTAGCTAGGGAATTTGTCACTTGTGTCGAGAATTGCTGGGATATGATACAATTGGTGATATAGATCAAACTAACAAGATGGCTGGAAGTCACTGCCAGCTAGGGCTTTTTGTTTAATTTTCAGTTACTTGTTGAGAAGTATAAGCAACGCTGGTCATACAGGACAGGACAGCGTATGTGACAGTGGGAGAAACACCCGACAGCTTCCTAGTTTCTGTGAACAGTTTAACATTGTCAGCATTAATACAGCTTCCTGTAACGGCCAGTCTACCACTGCAATTCCTGAAACCAAAACACTTTTCTTTGTTAATCATTCATTGTGCCTTAGATTGGACTTAGGTTGCCTTAGATTTTCTTACTCAAGTGGTACAGTTTGTGCTTGATCATAGTTACATTTCTTTAAGCTGAGAAGGTCATTTATTTGCGAAGACAATTTCTTCCCTCAATCTGTAGCAAAGTAACTCTTTAGCTTCATGAGTGACTTACAAGAGTTGAGTGCCAACTAAATAAACCCAGAAACTTCTGTTTGTGCTAACGTACTTTAATTTCACCTCAGCATGTATTTAAAGTAGAATAGGATCAGTCATTTGTTTATTCCCTAACCTT